GAAACGCGGCAGAGATCGCGATCGACAACGGTCGAAACCCGCCACGCACCGAAGCGACCGAGAAGCACGCGTACCGGACTTGAACTCTCACCGAACGCTTTTTCGATCCGCCCGTCTCTCGATCCGAAACGCTTTTGGGGAAATCACTGCGAGCGCCATCTGTGCGCGGCGTCGTCAACTACGGCTGATCAAACCGGGCCGTAACTACTTGCCGCCGCGCGAGTGGAACAGCTCGGTCGTTCCCGCGCGTCGCTCCTTGCAAGCTCTCGAGACACTTTTAATTGCGTTATTAAACGTGAACGCGTCCTCAAAACACTTTTGACTTGCGTTATTAAGCATAAAACCGCACGACCGAGAATCTCGTTAAATAGCTTGGTGCAGATTTAACAGCAAAAATCGTGCCCTGGTGGAAAAATTCTGAAAATAATATAATGAAATTTGATTGAAACGCACTTGAAATCTTTCTCAAGTGACCCCGTTTCCTTATCAATATTTCGGTAAAACTTCGGTGAAAACTAATTTTCATTAAGAATAGTTTTCAGTTAAATTGAATAAATTTTACATCTGATATGCCATAATTTTTTAACTACTTTGCAACAGTACACTTTAACTTTCCTCGTGTGTTTCAGTATTGCATTAAAATTTATGAGGGAAATTATGACTTACTTTGAAAATGTATTCAGTAATTATCATTTCATCGATTTCACATATTTACCAGGGTTGGAAAGCAACTCGTTACTTGTAACTTAGCTCAGTTACATTTTCTCGATAACTAGTAACTAATTTAATAGTTACATTAGGAGTTACTTTATATGTATTTTAAACCTCCACAGATCGCATTAGGCCTTGCATTTGCGCATAAACGCTTATGTCGACACTTTACCATTCAAATGCAGATTTGATATTTTTATTTTCATTGCAACAAAGCAACGATTTGTTATTTTTTTAGCAACTGTAACGCGTTACTTTACAGCATTGGTAACTTGTAACTGTAACTAGTTACATTTTTAGCAAAAACACAACTGTGACTGTAACTAGATACTCTTATAAAGTAACTTTCTCAACTCCGATATTTACGGTACAAACAATGCAAAGGCCAGAATGAGCGAGAAAACGCAATTAAATTTCGGAACGTCGGAAGCTTATCGTCAGTCTCTAGTGAATTCTCATAATCCAACGATGAAACAATTGTGCGAAAGGAAGCAAAGATAATCATCAAGAACCGTT